ACAGAGAAAATAATTGATGAGGATTTAATTCTAAAACTAGGAGCATCTAGTAGACTCAACAGATGTGCAGAATCTACCCGTAAGAATGAAAAACTTTCCTCTAATACGAAAATTTCTAAAAAATTGTCAGAATGCGTTTTACTACAAGTATTTTTCTGAAGTTTTTTCTAAAAAGAATTTTCCAATAGCCAAACGGAGCAAACGGGGATTTTCTGCACCTCTAAGACTCGACTTCATCATCGTTCACATTTGAATTAGCTAATTTATTCCGTCTAGGGAAAAAATTATTAAGACTGACATGCACAAAAAGAAACATGCAAGATATAATAATAATCAGAAACATTCATGCTAACTTTATAATGTTTAAATATTCATTCTTTATGAAAGAAATAAGCAAATTATAATATCTTTTTCTTCTCAATTTGCATTTTTTTTATTTATTTTTTTTATTTATACAGATCACAGACAATAACAATTGTGTTAAAAGTTTATACTATAGTTTAAATATAAGCACACAGGATTTTTATTAGTACAAGACAAAACATTATTTGTGGATAATTAAATAATTACATAAACATTCTCAAATAAAACTTCACCTTAGATGCACGACGTTCAAAGCCTTTAGCCTAGAAAAATAGATGATTTTGAAACAAAACCCAAAAATAGTCAAATTTAGTAATGTACATGTTAAGAAAATAGCCCCAGCTTTCATTTTATAAAAACAAATCAAATTTATTTTACCTGCAACTGTAATTCCTTCTGTTGAAGTTTCAGATCTTTTAACAATTGAACACGTTGAGCCATTTTTAACGTTCGTTCATACGCATACGCCGATATTTCTTGATCTCCCTAAATATATATAAAGAAAAGCTTTATTAATAGAAATAAAATTGAATAATAAAAAAAAAATTGTCTACCATTTCCACGACATCAACTTCAGCTTCAATTCTTAACTGATACATATACTGTTCCAAATCTTTTTTCATTTCGACACTGTTATCTTCTAGCTGTGCCACCGTAAATAAACGTAGACGACATTTGGCCCACACTTTTGTTCGTTTTAATAAAAATGCAATTAAAAATAATAGACCACCATCGTGAATAATCCACCAAATATCGATTGTCCCTAAAGAAAGAAAAAATGTATATTGTTTCATTATTCTAATCAAATTCGTCTATTATACCCTCTTGAATCTGCTTATTATCAGGAAAGTTGTCGATGTTTTTTGGTACAATAACAGCACAATTTCTTGTTTCAGCAATTGCTATTGTTCCTTGAAAAAGTAAAAAATTCATTTTTTTCCATAGAATATGACTACAGTTTAGTTATATTTATACTTACTCACGAATGCTTCAGCCGTATAACTTTCATAGTCTTTTTTCCAATTCACCGGCCAACATAACACAATCGTATTTGGTCTCAATGCACCCAAACCTTCTGTTTGTATTCTATATACATATACATACAAATAAACATTATATGGAGTTAACGACATAGATCTACATACAATGCTGATATTCCATCTTCAGCATCACGTGCCGCTAATACTTCAGCAAATCCTTGTACTTTTGCTGCAATTAACTCGGCTTTTATCAACTAAGAGAGAAATCTGAAATCTTAGCTAAGACAATAACTTAAAATAATACATACTTTTCTTAATGGTGCAATATCTTCATGTTTATCCAAATAATCGCCTTCAACAATACTTGCAGCCACAACAAATCCACGTCCTAAATAACAAAACTAGTTGATTAATTGTAGTAAAAAAACTTAAACCAATTCTGTACCAGCTTTCAGTTGATAAAGAAAATTCATTAATCTTGGATGTCTTAATTCATACGTATTATCGTTCTCATTACGCTGACTTCCAATAAAAGCTAGTAGTTGTGGACTGTTAATAGAAGAAATAATGATCTTTATTTATTGCCAATATGAGAACTTTGTTATATGACTTACCGCCAATTTTTTGTATGTGGTTGTGCTTCATCTAATCGAAATAATGCATAACGAGCAGCTGACATGGAAAGACCTCTAACTCCATCACCCCATTCTTTTTCAGCACTAAAAGGTGACAATAAACGAAATAATTAAAATGAAATTTTTATTCATTTTTAATTAGCCTACCCCTTATATTCAATATATTTGTAAATCACTAGAGCAATTAACATGGCAATCAAAGCAAAATACCATGATGCTATAAACATAATTGTAATGCAAAGGAATAATCCAATTAATGATAATAGCCAGTGATAAAAACGAAATCTTGGCCTCCAACTAGGCGATTTTAAAATTGTTTGTAATGCACAAGCAAGATTAACAAAACCGTAACACATGATAAAAAACCTAAAATACCAACTAGTACATGAGAAATACGAGATTGAAAATAAAACATTAGCTTACATTGATAATAAAGCTGTTAATTTATCAACATCTGCAATTAATACGCCACATTCACATATGAACAATGTTAACATCAGTGAACGAACTGGTTCACCACGAAAACTCTTAGCAAGTGGTTGTAATATTGGAATTAAATCATCTTTTGCAACAGCTTGAAGTAATCGTGGAGCACCTAAATGAAAAAATATTTAAGAGAAATTTTAAATATATCGTACATTCTTATCTTACCAGTCAATGTTTGAAGTGCAGCACCCACAGTTGAACAAAATGCACCAACCATGATAACCCATTTATTTGGCCAAGCTAATACGGCCACAACTAATTGTTTATTGATACTATCACCAAATTTATCACGCAATAGTATCCCACGAGCACATGCAGCCATAAAAATAACATTGGACAAATCTATACATGAGTTATGGATAAATAAATTATCATTTAGTAAAACCTTACAAGAGTATAACTTCAATCGGTATTGTAAGTGCTCACATGAAGAACATGAAATTAACTGAAAAAGTCCGAAAAAAGGATACAAATAGCCGATGTTGTTAAAATAGCACTAATCGTTCCACGCGGAATACTTCTTCCTGGATCACGTAGATCTCCACTACGATTTGAACCTGCCATAATACCTGAAAAAAAGCAAAACATAACAAAGAAAAAAAATAATATATTTCTTTCATGGATATTTCGTCTGACCTGTGACGGACGGAAAATAAATTCCCACTAATATTAAAAATGTTGTTATTTCTTGTGCAACAACTTCAAATGTATCATCACCTTTCACTCCAGCTTCAATTTCACCTTCACGACGATAATGTGACATCAAATTTTCTAAAAAGCTGACGTTTAACAAGCTTAGTTTTTGTTTCTAATAAAGAAAATTATTTTGAAAATAAAAACCAATTTTACCGGATAATTGCCAGTGTTTTAAGCCTGGTATTCCGTTTTGAATTTGAACATCAGTTACACTACCGTCATTACATAATGTATTTGTTGATTTATTACATATAGCCGCATACAATGGACAGATTTCACTTGAATTGTCACTATTCGTACAAAATTTATCCCTTTTACAATATCTTCGAACATCATTTCGTAACACATTGGATTTAATTAAATGTGGTGGATTCGAACCAACAACACAGATCCTATAAAATAATAATTATCGGAAATCGATTAAAAACAACAGAAGAAAGCTGCAAATCTATCCATTTTTGTCATAGGAAGAGTACTGGTGCCTTTCATATGACGTATGTTTCTCAAAAATTCCATGTTAGAATTACAAACTAATGACGAATCTCCAAAAAGTGATACATACGGTAAATCAGGTGGATTAAACGAACTTTTGATAACACCGGCATAAATGGCTAATATTGATACGAGAACTGCTACGAGACTAATTGGTGCTATTTTACTAACAAATCGAATTCCCAAAAGAACACATCCGCCAATAAGTAACACCAGTATTGTTCCATAAATACGATAATGATTAAAAGCGACCGATGGCTTTTCCACATCATCACCGAACAAACGACATTTTTCCGGACACATATATTTAACAATAATTTCTACAGCACCAACAATGTACATCGATGATGCAAATGTGTTTCCCAAATAAAACAAAATTCCCACAGCACCACCAAACTCGGGACCTAATGATCTTGAAATCATGAAATAAGCTCCACCCGCCGGTACAATTCCGTTTGTTGCAATAGCAGCCATAGAAATAGCTGTTAATAATGTCTAAATAAAAAAATTTAAATTAAACTATATTAAATACTTATTTTGATTCTCTGAAGACACTTACACATGAACAGCAAATAATTACAATTAATAATGCTTGTAATGCTCCACCAATTCCCACTAACCAAAATAATCTTATAAAAACGATAACACCTATTTCAAATGAAACAATACATTTATTTATGAAACAAATATTTCATATTCCATCACTTACCAAATATGTTTTGTACACATGGTAGATAAACGCCAAGTATTGTTCCTAAATTTGCTGAACGCTAACAAAAGAAAATAATATTCAACATTAATAATTATTATTTTGTTGTCTCAAAATAGTAATCTTACATGTTGAACAGTCGGAGGTTTTTCTGCTTCTGTAGCATCTGGTACAATTCCTCCTTTATAATTGTAAAGTTGTTCTAATACAGTTCGAGGACGATGATCATATTCCTAAAGATAATATTATTTCTAAGAATAAGTATACCATTTAAATAATGACATCTTTAAATACCTCATAAATACTTTCATCATTTATTTTCACTTTAACATATGGACTATCATCTGTCGATGATTGTAGTGGACTTGTTTCAGACATTGTTAGATCTAAATTAGTTGAAAAATTTAGACAACTTTATTTTTTTTAGATTGAAATAAATAATTTCTAAGTATATACCATTTTCTGATGTTTCTCCACCGGTTTTGACGACAAAAAATCGCCCACTTTGTGATGCTAAGAGAAGAACAAATTAAACTTTAAGAATGATGAGAATAGAGATATATGAATCAATCAAAAAAAAATGAATCGATTTAAAAGCAAAAAAGTTAAAATAAAATGCGTAAAGCTGCGTTTTGTTTCTGATAGCACATTCACATCTTGACGTGTTGGCCTATATATATATGTAGTTCTAGTTATTTATATATATATAGATAAAACAGTCAAGGATATAAAGCAACATAGAAATTTATAGTCGACTATTATACGCATTTTTCTCATAGAAATTGAAAAGATTTTTCGTATAAAAAATGTAGAACTCGGCAGTAATTTTGTAACACAATTTAGTTAAAGACTATTTTTCTATATCTAATTTACAAATGATAATGTGGAAAAGATTTTTTAGTTTAAGATAACACACACAGGAAACTTTAGTAATGCAAGACTATTTCATGATAATTGAGCAAGAAATAATGAATAGAATAAATTCACTCTTCAAGGTTAATTTTTTTTTTTTTGTCAAATAATTAATTTATTTTGTATGCATTGCACACGGACTTACCGGTAGTCATAGTTTTATGAAGATATTGGATTCATTAACAGTATCTACGTTAAAACGATGTTATTAATAAATCAGCTTATTTTATTTATATACTCGAACCATACGTGAGATACATAATTCAAAATATATAAATATGAGAAGAAAAGTGCATAATAATAAAACTTTTGTAGAACACTCACATAGTAATACATGTTGCTCACAATGAAGTTTTCTTTTTTTTATATTTCGTACAGAATTTGTTCTGCATAACTGGCAAAGAATTTTTTATTACGTTATTACATTGAAAAACAAAAGGTATTAACGTCTACCTTTCATTTCTCGTCACGGTTCAAAAATATATAGTAAAATCGGGTATATTGATAGATATACATATAAAATATCATAAAAGTATATTTTCGACGGATAAGAGAAGCTCGTTTCAATGCATAAGCAATTTTTGTTTCTCGTTGAAATTTCAAAGATGTCATTTGATGATTTAAAATCTATATAATAAAAACTTTGATCTCGATTTTGCGAAAAACTGAACAGAATTTTAAGTGTTTATATTATGAACCAATAGCTTATAGTTTTTACCAAAATAAAAATAAATGTGATTTAGCATTAAGAAAAAAAAGTTGTTTTAAATTTTGATATAAAAATCTTTGTCAGATAAGAAGAGAGATATGAAAGAAGAAAGTATAAGACTGCTACGAAATACATCTTTGTTTAGATTATCCTAAAACTCGAATTAACTCACAAATTATGTATTTCGTAGCAGTCTTACACTTTCTTCTTTCTTTTACGGCTATTTCTTCGTCTTTCTTAAGAGCTCCTCTCTGTCAAAAAAAGTCGATTTTGAGATTTATACATGATTGCATAGTTCAAAGTGTATAGTTTCACAATCTCTACCACTTTCGGTATCGTTCTCTGCTTCATAGATAAATTTTTATGGTTTCAGACGAAGTTTTGGGAAAATCTCGAATAATAAAATACTGGGATTCAACTTTTGTCCACTATACTTATGGAATCGTATAGATTTGTCGAGTAACCTTTTCTCATCAAAATGAGACGTAGCACAACTCAGTGTAATCTTCTGTTGAAAAGTAACAGACATTTTTCTACCAAGCCCCAAAGTACACTACCAAAATGCACGGCCTTGTTCTCAACATCGTTCTTTTGAAAAGTAGCTGTGCGATTTCCCAGATTTAGCTGAATTTTTCTCTGAGTTTTTGAGAAAAATGGAGATTTCCGAAACATTAACGAAGTCGTTTTCGAACTTTTGAGAAAAAGCTCTGAGAAGAACAACTACAGAAAATTTATTAATCCGGCTCTCTTAACTCATAGTCACAAGTCTTCTCATCGTTGAAAACGTGACTCGAGCTCTTAAGCATTTGAAATAGAGAAGAACACCACTTTTCATCAGTATTTTTGAGATGTTTTCAAGGTTAAACGTTAGCCTAATCTAATCTAGGCAACACTAGCATTTTGTGAAACATTCACGCATTTCGTCCTTTCTATCAAAGGAGTCCTCAAGAAGAGAGATACAAGAGATAAACTGGCTAATACTAACCTAATCAATTTTATCGTGTTACGTTTACAAAGCACAAAAAATACAACATGTAAGATAAAATCTTTAATCGTTTCTTAACTTACCTCTTCTTGGTGATTCATGAAGTTTAATTTGATCATCGAATGATACATGTGATTTTGTTGTCTGAGATGGTACATCATTTTTGTCTGTACCGGTCAAATCGTCATTCACACTAGTTTTACTCATTTTTGGATCTAAAAAGTAGACAAGTATTATCGAACTAAGAAAAAGCATTTATATTTTGTTATCAGAAATCTTCATTCATCCCAATAAAGATGAATTAAAAACGTTAAGACGCATTAATGAAAACATCACCATGCTGAGATGATTTATTTTAATTAGATCGCTGAAAAAAAGAAGCCAAATGGATTTTTGAGATAAGATTTTTATTTTTAAGAAAAATAAAGATCTTTGTGAATGAAAAATATTGTTTTATTTTTCGATTTTTTAGCTCGATCAAAGTAAAAACTTCGAAATTGAACTTGAACATAAATCTTCTACATAAATCTTCGCCTTGAAATACTCTAGAGTTAAATATAATAGGCTTAAAAGATCTAGGCTAAATTATGCTGGAAGTTCCAGTTTACATCACTAATATTTGTTGAATGAAATGAACATGTCGAACTAGAAATTTTTTTATCATAATCTTTCTATACATAATGTCTTTTACTTTTCTGAAAATTTTTATATAAAATCGGTGGCTTATCAAAGACTCGTTGTCGAAACTCTTCATTCAGAAACTTCTAAAAGTACAAATTATCATAGTTAAAAACAAATTACTACTTCGTCTCGTACTAATCATAGTTGATTTTTCGTTAAAAAATAGATGAGTTATTCTCATAAATAATATGTTTGAAATATCTTTTTTTTTTCTTCTTCTTTTTCTTCTTACCTGTTTAAGATATTCTTCCTAATCTATGAAATAAGTTTTTCTTCTCTTCTTGTTTCTTTCATTTAATAACATTTAAATATTTAAACATTATATTTAATAATAATAATGTCTAATATTAATTTTCTACAACAGAAGACAAATATCAAATTATATGGTAAAAATAATAGAAATTATTCTTTAGTTTTAAAAAAGCAGAAAGAAATAGAAATAAAAAATCTATAATTATAAAATAGTTTCGATGGTCATAAATAGGTAGATAGATAATTTAGAGAAAAAAAAGAAGAAAAGAAAAAATGAGATTGAAAAAGCATAAAAAAATAATGATATTAGAACTGGAATAAATAGATCATTTTCTTTATAGGTATACTCGTATTATATGGAAATTTTTTGATACTATTCAAGAAAAAGATATGAATATAGATTTTTATCATTGGTAAAAAACGAAATACGACAGTGAATTAACCTCTAAACAATAGAGTATCATATATTTAGAGTAAACAGTTGTAAAAGTAGTTCTTTCAAGAGAGATTAAATTAATCTTTAATAGAATTTGTTTTAGAAAATGCGCTTCTTTCTGAGGTATTAAAATGATTACTAAGAAGTTCGTGTTCATTTTATTAAACACTATCATTTATTCTTAATGTAGAGAGGTTTTTTTTTCCTAAGAAATATTCGAATCGTGCCTTATCAATCTTAACATTTTCACACTCATTGTGACGTGATCTATTGCCAGTAAAATCATCGATAATCAATTTTTATTATTTTTTGATGTTATTACTATCGTTCAGATAAGATTCGATTAATTAGATCACACCTAGATCTCGTTTTCTGCTCATTTTTGGACTTATCGTGATTGATAATTTCTATCCTGGAAGTTTTTAATAGTCAGACATTTTTCTCATTATATTAGATACAAGTTACCATCGTTATTTGCTCATACCTGTCATGTTACTTACAGACATCCCGACAGCCACACAAACAGACATATTATATATTTTTTTCTCTATATAAATCTAGATTTTTATGCAAACAAACAACAAACCTTCTAACTTTAAGAAACCGAAACGTACAAGTGAAAGAAAAAGAAAAGATAAAAAGAACAGGAAGTAAAAACACTCGACTGTATTACTACTACGAATAATCATTTTAATAATATAGTATTATCACGAAAAAAAATCTTCTATCTGTCTGTTTTCTATCATTCAGTAAATATTAGATAATATGCCTAAACAAGAAGACATGAAGAAATAATAAATAAACGAACAAAGAGACTCTCTTCTATGTGAAAACATCTTTAATTGAGGTCAAATATTATTTTCGTTCTCTTCGGTGATCAACATATATCATTTCTCTTACAGTGATTGGGACAAGCACAAGCGAAAAATCTCGAGTCAAAAAATATTAAAATTAATACAGTTCTACCAAAATCATATTATAAAATATAAATATTGAAAATAAAAATTACAAAGTGTAATATTAAGATAAGAAAAACAAAAACTAATAATAATCTAAAATGCTCTTTACCATCGTTTCTGTGTATTTATAAATCTTGTAAGTCTTAAACAGATATCTAGTGTGCATTTTTACGATAACAGGAACAGCTTGATTTTATTACATTCAGTCATTAAAAAAAAAATAATAATCTTACTTACTTCAAAAACATTTCTTATTTTTAGCTGCCAGTAGTTGCCGTGATCCATTGTGAAAGGGATTCTGTCAAACTTAATGGATACATGCAAATAGAAAAAAAATTAATAAATCTAATAGTATTTTTTTTCGATGCTTAGAAATAGACATTTTATGTGAACTAGATAACTTTGACAGTAAGGGTAAGGTTTACTCACGTATCAATCTGCTGGGAAACATTACAAATGTGACCTTTTCTGTGATGTGTACTTTTATTATCATCCATACTGTTTGTTTTTTTTCTTCTTCAAAAACGGCTAAAACTATGATATACGCAACAAAATGATTTAAGAGATGTAAACTTAAAACTTCCTTTTCCTATTCTCGAAAAAAGAATACGGGGATACACGCCATTATCTAATTTAAAATTTTCAAAACGAGACGCTCACATCAAGGTCATCACAGGCCCACAAAGAAAAACTAAAAATATATATTTTGTGGTCGAAAGATACCCTTAGGACACAACCGAAAGAAGAAAGCTAGTGATGCATCTTATCCTTTTTGATCGCATGATAAAATTCGATCCAGAAATCTAATTTTTTTCGCTATCTCGGAAAAGTGATTTTCCTTTATAAGAACAACAAAAAACAGAGAAAAAAATGTGAAAAGAGAAAAGAAAAAGATGGAAAAGGAAACATGTTCGATTTATATCTTGTATTAATGTGCCCTGAGCAACATACAAGACGATTTTATGTAGAGAAAATAAATGATATAGACATTTTTAATGATTTAATCAGAGCCTTTTTATAGAAAAATAAATGTAAAAGAAAAGTATTATTCAACTTTCCTTTGAACAGAAAAAAAGAAATAAGGAGATCAAAAAAAGAGAAAAAGATTCATCAAAACCTTTTCTAAGAAATTGACGATAGTCTCTTCATCTTGGCAACGAAAAGTAGCAAGCAAACACTACAAAAAAAACAATAAGATCATGTCAATGTCATAATCGTTTAGAAAATATAGAAACAAGAAGCATGATAAGATAAGCGAAGGAAACATTCGGATTATCACACTACATTAACGACAAAATGAAAGATTTATACAACATTGTATTCCTGATTGATGGTCGATTTCCTTATTCTAGAAAAATGTTCACATATTGTTTGCGAAGCGTCAGAATTTCTTATGCTAACAAAAAAAAAAACTCAATCTTATTCAAATATTCTTTCGATTGTGTACATATTTATTCAGATTGCCATATATCTATATCCTCCGTTTTTGAAGTTTCAATCAAAAAATCAATCAAAATGATATATGTATAGGATTGTGCTCAGCAAGACATATATCCTTGTATGCATTTTAACTCTTTAAATTGTTTTGTTTCTGAGCAAGATTAAAAAAAATGATTTTAGGATGTAAAAGTGGTATTTGTAAACAATAAAAAAGAAAACATTCTGGTTTTTTTCAATAAGCTTTTACTGTTATAAAATATTAATGACATAATTTGATGCAAAAGAGTCTATCGCACTTCAACATCGATGATATATTTGTGCTAGTCAAAGAAGAAAATAAACAGATCAGAAAAACTTCAGAATAGTACTGAGATGTTCTCAAAATTATTATATTAATCAAAAATGCTATAAGATTTATTATAAAAACATCTACCGAAAAACTTATACATCTTATTGTCTATAAACTATGGAGTTTTTTTTTTAAGAAAAATATTTTGTTTTAGACAGACGTCTGGATTTTTTGAATGTCAAAACAGATATGCAGTTCTAAATGATTCCATAGAGAAACCATGTCCTATAGAACCGTTAGATCACTAAAATTCTTTTTATATTTATCTCAGTACATCAAAGTAAAAAATGTCATCAAAAAATGGTCAAGTATCTATCTATAGAATTGTTAATGTTACATCAAAGTCTAGCAATACCATATATCCCGAAATAACAGAAAAAAATACATCTAATACTGGAATAGATTAGAATAGAACTCCAAGAAATATAGCGGCATTCGATCTCCAATTATTTTTATTTATACAATTTTTCTATTTTGTTTTCTTTTCACATAGTGAGTATTATACATATATAACAAACAACTGCAAATGAATCTATTTCCGTTTAATTCAAAACCATAATCCGATAGTTGTTCTCTATGCTACCGGAATTGAAAAAACCCTGAACCTTTTATCTAGTATCTTACCCATTTTTCTTTGAACAAAAAAGAATAAATGGCTTTTTTTTTTGTTAAAATAAATGCGCTTCCACTCGTTTTTATACTATTAGTATTATTATTACGACACACAAAAACAAGGAAAAGACCATTTTGTTTATCCAACATAGTTCTAAAACAATTTTTCTTGTAAAGAACAAGCCTAGATGTAATTTATAAAATACAGCGACGAGTTTCCTCCTCCTCCCAAAAAAAAAAAAAAATTTGATTATTCCAATAATATCGTTTCCATTTAAAAAAAACAACATTCAATCGAACGATCATTTAAATTTGGATCCGATCAGAATCGCTGAAGTATAAGTTTATTCTTCAATTTAAAACTAACAGAAAGCTATTTTGTGATCAAATTATCTCTTCGAAAAAAAAAATTCAAGAGAAAGACGGGTAGATGGAATACGGCAGTGGGTATTATACACTTTAAATTCAATTTAATATTGAACGCGAGAACGAATTCAGTACCTCTTGAGACACGAAACAAATCAGACATATCACTGGCAATGGTCTAAATTATTTCTAATATAGTTTTTTTTGGCACATAACTTGCTAACTATCTTCGATTGATTTGTTTTATTATTACCGAAAACTCCTACTGTGCCTAATTATTTCTGACTTCATGATAACTCAGACTAAGCTAAAAATAAAAACTTGACATTACAAACACGTTCTTGATACATATAACACATGCAGCGATTGTGATTGGGGGCGAGTAGTCTCCTTGTCTGGAAACAATTAGTCAGAAAAACTTTGTTTAGTTATATAGTAAAATTTTTTGGAGCATATTAACGTATTTACTCATCCGAGTAACATTCTTACTAATCAGTAAAAACACAGTTACTCAAAAAATTATTTTTATTCAACGAGACTTACCTTCTTGGGGGGGGGGGGGGGGGGGGGGGGGGGGGGGGGGGGGGGGGGGGGGGGGGGGGGGGGGGGGGGGGGGGGGGGGGGGGGGGGGGGGGGGGGGGGGGGGGGGGGGGGGGGGG